AAAAATTTTTTTACAATTTTTATTATAATTTTTCTCACATACACTGAGAGAAAATATGTTTATAAAAAATAGTATTTATTTAATAGATATTAATAACATATTTATTTAAATCTAAATTCTTTTTTATTTAAATTAAATAAACATCCATGAAAAGTTAATGTTTTAAAAGGGTTCAAAAAATGTATATTCTGTTATTTGAAAAACTTTTTATATTAGTTTAAGTAAATATATGTTATTATATATATATATATATATATACTCATATACACATATATACATACACATATACATACATACATATATATATACATATATATGTATAATATCCATTACAAACAAATATTTACTAACTTTTAAATATCTTTCTTTCAGTGTACCAAAGTATGTGTGTGTTTGTTAATAATAAAATTATATTTTTTGTAGTATTTTTCATGCTATGTGTAAGATAAATTAGCTCAGTTACGAAGTTTCGTCTTGTTCCATATGTTTCTACATTTTTACCTTGAAACTTAACTTTTAACTTGAAGAGTTAACTAAACTTAATTGAACTCTTAACTTTCCATTTCATCCTCAAACAATTGACAATTTGATTCAATTTCATTTTTACGACGAAATTAATCGCGATCAATTATATAAACGCGTCAATCCTTACATTAGACGCAGGGGAACACGATTACAGCGGAGGTATTTGAAAGAATAGAGTTTATCGCTGTTGATTACGTTGATTTTTGAGATTTTAATGGTTCCACGTTTAACCAGTTGCAAACTTGTAGTGCGAGCTTAGATAATGTCGACCGCCCAGACGACCATAAATAAACCGAGATAATAAAAAAATCAATAGGCACATATTGGAAAAGCGTAATTGTTACAAATAGTTCATATCGCGTGCTGCGTGAGTTTGCCGAAGTTTTCCTTATTTTCTCCGCGACTATTCGGGTCTCAGATACTGAGGTTTTCTTTTAAACGAGATCGCGAATTCTTCGGAGGTACGACGCTTAATTGGAACGATTAGCGATTCTTGGGTCAATAGGAGCAACGTATGAGCCATATAAGCGTGCGCGTTATACAACGTTGATTCGCAAGTTTCGCCAGGTTCGTGTATACGAGGAGATTGTAGATATTGAAAACGAAAGTTTTATTCCATCCATTACAAACCGTATCGCTTTCCTCTTCCTCTACCTGTTCTCGTATGCGTGAATCGCGCACATTTTTACTGAATTAATACCGTTCGAATCTGTAAATTTTGTATTCCCATGAATTTAAGAGAGAGAGAAAAATTACGTTGTAAAATTACGTATTGTAGTTAAAATTATATTTCTTTTTACAGTTTTTTGTAAATATGAATTATACTAAAATTATTATATAAGTTACTATAGAAATTATAAATTTGACGATCTACCTTGACATATGACATAAAAAACATTTACATAATTACAATAATTTTGTAGTAAAAAGTCAAACATAAGTCCATAATTCTTTTATATGATAAAATTGCAAAAATTTTTTTATAATTTTTATTATAATGTTTTTTCCGTGAATGAATAAGATTCTAATTAGTTTTTCTTTTATATCAATAAATTAATTTTCAGATATATTAAATAACTTTTTAAACAGACAAAACGTAATTTACGTTTGTTATTACAAAGCTATAAATATTCAAATACTTCTACTGAAAAATTTTATTATTTGTACTTAATACATCTGAGAGCTGATGCATCGCCCTGATTTTGACATTTCCGCAAACATCGTGTCATTGGTCGAATTCGTGAATTTGTGTTTCACCAATTACATCGCAAATATTTATTTCTTTTTATAATTATCGATTTGTCATGTTTTCCTTATACTATCATATCCATTTACACGGAAAAAATGCTGTTGAATCAATAGAATTGGTTAATAGCGTGCAGTTTGGAATAAATCTTTTTAATTTAATAACAATATTATTGAAACTAATATTCGAATTATTAAAACGATGTATGATACATTTGTTTTAATAACTCGAGCATGGGTTTTAATAATATTGCTATTGAATCAAAAATGTTTATTTCAACCGCCGCGTAAATATTTATTTCAACTGCTGCAGACAATTCGCAAATTAATTTGGCCTTTAGTCAATTGTTACTCTGTTTTAAAGTCGAATATCTTCCCATTTAGTGGGTTTTGCAATGCTAATCTTATGATTTAAAATGCATTATATAGCTTGACGAAGCTGACAACATAACATCACAAAACAGTATCGAACACGATGACGTCCGATAAATAATATATCAGATACTGCACTATTTTCGCTTTCCAATTAAAACAAATGCTGCCGAGGCTACAAATATGATTTGACTATTTTTGAAGAAAGATACTGTAATGCATAAAACTTGTAAAAAATGGTATCAAAAGTTTCGGAGTGGTGATTTCTATCTTATAGATGAAGCATGCTCACACGTTGCAAAAGGAACGAAGGACACTATTTATTTGTTTGGGTTATAAGATGTTCTCTAATGCGGTTTATTCAACGAACCTAACCTTTTCATATTACCATCTATTCCAATTGCTCCAACTGGTTAATATACACTTTAAAAGCATGAAAGAAGTCCGAAAATGTAACGACTGATTTACCGACTCAAAACCGCCGTTTCTTTTTTTCCGAGAGAAGATTCGTCAACTGTTCGATAGATGGAGAAAAGTATTGGAGAATGATGTGGAATATATTTCGAACATTGACATATTTATTATTTTCTTTTTGTAAATAAAAGCTCAATTTCTTAAAAAAGAAACACCGAATTAATTGTGGTATATCCTATATATATACACGTGACGTGAAAAAATACGACCGTTTCTAGTCTGTGTTAAAAAGACGATAATGAATTTCACTTCTCCTTGAAGACTTATCAAGAGCAACATATGACGCGACAAGACGAGACTTCACTTTTCACTTGAAGGAAAAGATCGCGAAGATGGCTAAGACCTGGTGAGAAGAAACGAGAGTGATTAAAATCTCGCTTTCGACGCTGCCACATGCAGTGAGTCTACGAACGGCAGGTAGGTGCTCTCCTTTTCGAAACAACAGACCTGAATCGCTCGAAACGCACGATTGTTTGGTAAACGGCTTCGTGTGTCGTGCGGCTACCACGTGCTTCGCAAGCACGTACAGATGGTATTGCATGTAGATCGGTAAAAGCATCACGTATTTATCGTATCAATTACACGTTTAATGTTAATGTCGTCGAGCACGCTTTAGACGATCTATTTTACTGCTTGCTTTCTGAATCGTGCCGAAAATACGAGACTGGGATCTGCGGAGACGCATTCTTGACCGCATTCTTCACCGACAGTTTCGCAACGTGTGTCATAAAAAATGTTATTGGTTAGCTTATGTTTAGAATTCGCTAATATAAACTTAAACTCAGACAAAATACCGCGTTACAAATTATCGAATAGTGATCGAACAGCCGCAATTAGAGATATTCAAGTTTGGACAGTTTGAATGGAACCGAGTTTGGACAGTTTGAATGTGGCTGATCAATTCGCGATTGATTCATATCTGTCTTCAACAATTCTTATATTTTATATTTATTAGCTATTTTGCCATTCTACGTTCTCGAATATTTTAGACTCCATTAATTCAAGTTTTAGCTTAGTTTACAAATATCTTTCACCATATACGCCGATTTTGTTTATCTTTTTGTGGTTTGATATAATATCCTAAAAGATGACTATGGAAAGTAATACTAACTCAAAGTTAATTTCAGCTCATATATGAAATGTTTTATTTTAATAACACTATACGGAAAGAATATTGTAGTAAAACTTACAATGCAACTTTAGTAGTCTAGAAATAGACGAAAATTACGAAATAAATTATGAAAATATTGCAAATATATTACGCAAATTACGAAAATTATGATAAAATATAGTAAAAATGACCATAAACATGATAATTCTTACTACATTTATGACATTTTTATTATGTTTTATTATAACTTTCTATTATCATAATTTATTATATTTTATTATAATTATAATTAATAGTACTAGTCTATTCCCGGACTATTAAAGTTGTAATTTTTACTACAATATTCTCTCCGTGTATAAAATATTTCAACAACAACGCATTTTAGGAAAAAATGCTTGAGTCCAAAGTTTTTTGATTTCGATAAATAAATAAGATAATGACCTCTCTATTTGACCATACGATTCTTTATCAAGGCCCTCTCAAGATTAATAGAGAATCTTTTCATGATCAAATGAGACTATTCTTTTCCTTATCCATCAAAACCAAGTAACTTTTGATTCAAACATTTTTTCCTAAAATGTGTTATTTGTGATATATTTTATAGCGACACCTGTCGTATAAGAATTGAAATGGATTTTAAGCAAATTTTTTGCATAAATAATCATCTTTTCGAATGCTCTGTATCAAATTACAAAAGGTAAACAAAATCGGTGAGGATTACTTATTAGACGAAAGCTTCAGACCCAAGAGGCATGCACGATGCCAGGATCGACCTCAAAATTTAAACCGCGCGAACTGTTCAAATTATTCTGCCACTTTCCGGTGAATTTCGGCTATTACTTCCTAACTAGACTAAGTTTAAAGTTGGTGACTTACAAAGTTCGTTATATTAAATGCTATATAAACAAGAATTAAATTAAAAGTTAAATTAAAACCGAATTAATTTATTAAAGTTAATTGTGCAAAATTCTATTTATAAACAGTCCAGAGTGATTTTAATATTGATGAATTATTTCATTAATATTAAAAATTAACAAGTTAAAGTAAATGTATTTTAAAAGAAGCTGATAGTGTTAGAAGCTTATTTAAAGTTAACCAAGTTAAAAGGTTATTTTTTGACTTTTTAACTGAACTTTCAAGTGATCAACTAATTATTACTGAAACCTGCTTGGAAGTAAACCTGCACGATCGTGGCCTACATTCGGCAGTCCCGCGAGCATTTTCGGGTGCATCGAGCTGCGCGTCGGGTATGAAGAAATACGAAGGTGCTTACGTCATTTATGGTAGGTAGGAGTGGTGCTTCCTCGATCGAATGCGCGATTTGTCACGGTCTTCATGTTTCCATCGCTGCAGCCGGCAAGATCCTCAGCATCGTCACGATGACGAATGGGTCGTCTGAGAGCGCGGCGCTCCTCGCACGTACGATGATGCACACTATTCGCACGATCTCAGCGTCGAGCGACGGCGAAAGGAAGCAGTTGCGGTGGTAGATTCGACAGATCGATGGTGTGCGCCTCTTCTCCGCGCGTGTGACTTCCGGCAGCCGTTCTCTCGCTTCCGCGCGATATCGCCGTATGCATTAATTTCCGTACGATCACTGGTCACACCAACACAACGTCAGATGGCGACTCGGCTATTCTCACGCGACGGTCTCTTTCTCGTTTTCGCCCCTTCGCGAGATTCTCTCAACCCTTTGCGTCCCTCGCGTCGATCTACCAGTAACTAGAAGAATAGAAGTGTAACTGAAGCGAGAGGGACAGTGGAGCCGAAAACCATCGAGATGCACCGAAGACGACTCGATGCTCACAGCGACTAGTGCAGAGACGTCAATGATCGTCAAACATCGACGTGAGAATGCAAAGAGTCGAGGAAAACTCGAGCTTTTTATCCGCGTCTGTCTACCGGTCGGGCCGAATAGGAATGAACGACAAAACTCGATTAAGCATGAAAAAAAAAACAATCATCTAAAAAAACTTGTCCTCCCAGTTACGCAAAGCCGTAACAACGCGACGCGATGCGATGGCGACCGGCCAGAAATAAAACTCGCGCGCCTTTTACGCCGAAAAGCGAACAAGAGATGCGCGCGCTCCGTGTCGTTGGTTCCCGCTCCAGTGCGCGCATGCGCAGACGCGACGTGCACTATAGTACTTTCTCCGTCGATATCGATATATCGTTGCACAGATGCGGAAGTGTCCTTATGAGATTCTCCCTTTCATTATTTCTATTGTATCTTCTTCTATCCACAATTTCTATCCAAATATCATTCGCAATGATTGTGAAGAAGAGAGCGAGATTGTCTAAGTAGGAGTATTGAAACTGTGTAATTTTTTCGATGAATTCAATCCCCCGTCGATACAATATATTCAGAGGAATATACTTTTTACCCAAAAACGCTCTTTTTTTCATACTTATCGCAGACAACACAGGTCTCCACAGGATATCCTAAAAACATTATGAAAACATCTTAACATCTTGAGAACGTCCCAAGATATTCTCTGGAGATTTTATGCTGTCTAGGATATCACGCGATTATTATAGACAAAAATATATGCTAACATAATGTTTTCCAGCAAGAAACAAAAAGGACATAGTGCAACACTATGATTAACAGAGAAGGAACTGACTACTCAGCGGGAAATGACTCAATATGAATACTCGTGATCGAAAAGTTGTCTTTTTTTTTTTGTAAGTTTCCTATCCGTCTTGTCCAATGAGAAAACTTTTATTAGAAAATAAATTCTGCTATTAGACAAGAAGGATAGGTTCCTAAATTTATAAAGAAAAAACCCGACAGGAAACCTTTTCGATCACGAGTGTACAAACGGCTTCAGAAAGGTTGTTTAGGTTGTTTTGTGACTTTCGGAATGCATCCATCTTGTTCAATAGAAGAATTTGTTCGTTAATGAGAGAACTTTCTCATTGAACAAGACGGACGCAAAAGTCACAAAAATCAGATAACTTTCTGATGCCAATTGTACATTTTTGGCAAAACGGAGAGAAAGGTAAAATATAGAGTAATTTTCTGTCTTTATCTACGCAGATGAAATGTACAACCGCTTTTTGACAATACATAAAAGAGATTACACAGATTCTTATCCAAGAACATATATGCATGATTAAATTATTTCATCATTTGAATGGAAATCCGATTTCAAATAAGTTTAATGACATTGATGTTTCATTAAATGAATAATGTGTTTCAAAAGAAAAATGGGATAAAATTTACGCATTTATGCGCAATATCTTATGATACATTTATATTACTATTGACGGCCATTACTGTCAATAATGCGCGCGCAGCAAAGAATAGAAATTCACTGATGTTTTACTTCTCTCTCCATTCTGCCAAACCTAACTTATATCATAAGAAAATATATGGCACGCTGTGTCTATCTTATATATCATCCAAACCAATGACACGTTGGCTACATTCAACGGAAAGAGCAATTCAAGGGGCACTTAGTGATTATTACTCTTGATTGGTATATAATATTGGCTTTTAGATCTATCAAGAATCTAAAAGAATACTCTAATCATGGACAATAATCACTAAACGCTCATTGAGCTGCTTTTTCTATTAATGCAGCCATTGACTGCGTTAAGTAAATACATGATTAATGTATATTTTGAAATCTACCAATTACACCCATCTTTCAAAAGTCGATCACTCATTCATTATGTTCGCTGAATACATTCATTGTTAGACTGCTCGACACAGCAAAAGTCATCTTTCAGCACGTATAAAGTGTATCAGTGCCACCAATATTTCAATACACTTTTAATATGTGGTAATCATGTTCATCCTTCAATGCGAGTGTAACCAACAATACGAAAATGATTGTTACACATCATAGATTCTTTCTCAAAAGTTAAATATAGGCTATTGAAAAAATTAACTAAACATTTTATTGTTACACAAACAACAAAATCATGTTCATTACAAGTAGATATCAAAATCATGTTCAAAATCATGTTCATTACAAGTAGATATCAAAATAACACTATAAGACCACTTCAAATTAAGGGATGACTTTCGACGAAAAAATCGCCCAATTTAGAATGTGCTCGAGTAATCTTTTGATGTCTACTAAACAAAATAAGTTAAAAACTCATCTCTTAAAACAAAAATTTAAGATTATACTTCGAGTGCACCCCAAATTAAGGTTTTTAGAAATTAACAAAAAACATCTAAAAATTAAGCATAAATACTCATTTTTAAAATAAATTTATATCTTTTTTAAATAAAAAAATGAGCCCCTTACATTAATTTTTTTATGTATTATTTCGAGCACATTCCAAATTAAGGTTTTTAAAAATTAACAAAAATATCTAAAAATCAAGCATAAATACTCATTTTTTAAATAAATTTATATCTTTTTTAAATAAAAATGAGCTTCTTACACTAATGTATTATTATAAACAGATTTCGCGCGCACCCAAATTAAGGTTTTAAAATTTAATAAAAAACAGCCCCATCTTCTTACAGAAACAGCATTTTTAAAACTAAAACACTCACCCCAGAAGCCTCTTAAACATAGTCTCTACTACGACACTCCTGCAGACCCTTAAACTTAAAAAACTTTTAATTATGTTGCTAAAAATGGTAGCGATGTTATCATGATCTTAAATTGTTATTTTGCAGGACTTTTAATAAATTTTGAAACATCAATACAAACATTAATACAACTTATCTTAGTCAATTCAGAATTGTCTTGTGATTTTAAAATTAATATTATTTTAATATTTATCAAAATATAATTACTTTACTGTCATAAAATAACATTTTAGTAGTATTAAAATACTACACTCTCCGGTAGAGAAAGTTACTACAATTTTATTTTTCCATGTGTGTGTAAAAAAAAATTAAAATTTACTGAAATATTATAGCAATAATTTAATAACAATAAAACTGACTTTGATGTTAGGTTAGGTAGGTAGATACGCTAAATATTTATAAAAATAAGAATAGAAAACTGTAACACGCACTTTGATGTTTTATGCACAATGCTAGGCAATAGAAATAGGCATTAGCCAATAGGAACAGGGAATAGAAATAATTGACCAATCCGAATTCTTATTCCTTGTTCCTATTGCCTGTTGCCTGGCATTGTGCATAGAGCGTAAGTCTTGTAAAGAACTTATCAGTAAATTTACAATGTAAATTTCTATGCATATCATATGTCGTACAATCACTTGTAAATATCGTAAATTACATGAAATCGTAGATATTTACGAGTAATCGTACGACATACGGTACGTATAGAATTGTAGATCTACTCATAAGTTCTTACGAGAGCAAGTTGCGAATCTTACAATTATGTCTAGAATTGCAGCATAAATTGGGTTCCAACAAGTATTTTATATTATGCAGTACAGTGTAATGTATTGTCTTTGCTGGAAAACATCCATGAGCTGGGGAGGAACAAAATTAAAGAGCAAAGTGAGAAAGAGAGAAGGAAACGTAAAAGTGCGGAGCGCGAGTAGATCTCTCGTCGCGGCACACACACACACACACACAAACACACATACACACAGAGGTAATTTCGCGGGAAATACATAGCATCGAACTCACCGCAATCGTACCGCCGCGGTTCCACGAACGAACAAACAAACAAACAAATAAACAAACAAACAAACGAACGAACGAACGAACGATCGATCGATCGATCGACGACCCGAGTCACGCGTTCCTTCCGCCTGCCGACGAGAACGATTTCGCTAGCGCGCGCACGATGGACATTTCCTCACCCTGCCGAAGAACGAATCAACAACCGAGGCCGATTGACACGTCGCACGCGCGCGCGCGCGTCCGCAGCACGCACTCTACTTCCGATCGCGCGTGCGCACAGCGGTGCGTTCGAAGATCCCGTTCGCGAGGGGATGTTGACGTGCGTGCTGGGGTGGCTCAGAGGTCGGATCGGGCACGCGCACCACGCGTATTCGAATTGAATGCGAATGCGCGTACGGACACGGTGTAACTGCGGACGACGGTGGCCGTCGACGTCGGTGGCGCGAGTCTCTCGACTGGAAGGTGGGGAATGAGCGACAAATCGAGAGGCACACCGTGGGGACCAACGTGGACTCTCGACGGTGCTCACCGGGCCCGGATCGGCGCGATCGGGATCGTAACGTGGCTGTGCACGCGCAGGAGAAGGCCGTCCTCCGAGAGAGGAGCCGAGCGAGCGGTTACGGCTTCGACACACTCTCCGTGTTTCACGCTGTCCCCATAAGTTTGCACGTCGATGTTTCACTTGCCAAAAAGCACGAATAAACGTATGTCGCTAGAGTACCGTAATTTTGGCTCATCTGTTTGGCTTGACGAAACATTCGCGTCAATCCGCTGTTTTGTCGAGCCAAAAGTATTTAAGGAAGTTATCAAGCTTGTATATATTTTTTTTTCCAGTGCATCAAGGGAACCACTCATAAACTTAGGCGTTTCTGAACTTTCTTTCATTAATAAAAGTGTCTCTAAATGTGACCAAAAGTTAATCATTGTAAATTACGTTTAGAGGCACTTTCAGTGATAAAAGAAAATTCAAAATAAACATCTTTCTATTTATCGAACAAAATTAAGTTTCTATATATTTATTTCATTACGTAAATAATAAATTTTATATTGAGTTAAAGTTGAGAGAGAGAGAGAGAGAAAGGTGAATATATACAGAGTAATACCAAACAACTCTTGATCCTTATAGTGTCATATTTTTTAAAGAAATCTGAGACTATTTTTTTTCTTTTTGCAAAATGTTATCTAAAGCTTAGTTTTTGAGTTATAAAAATAAGTAGTTTGCTTATTATGGATCAACTACAGAAGGTAGGTAAGAGCGATGCAATTTACCGTTAGATCCGGGCGCTTACGAATATATATATACGTACGCATACATATTATATCTACAACTTCCATCGATAAAATCGTGTGCAAAAGCAATTAAAATGTTTTAAATTAATGAAATACGGTTATATTGTAACGTTATAGAAGAACGTTATAGTAGAAGTAAAATATTCGATTATACGAGTTTTACCTAATTAGAAAATAAATTTTGAAAATACGAATAAAAGATGTAGTGTTAATTACATTCAACTCATTGCACCAGGCACCCCACATAAACACCTACGTCTGAATTGCGTCGCCCTTGCTTTTTCTCTTTTTTGCCTATCTCTTTTACCCGATCCGTAATAAGCAAAACTTCGTTTGTGCATCAATTGATCTAATACAGAGATGCATAAATAATAAAACAAAAAACTTACATAATAATGAGCTTTCCATCGCTGTATTTTTCAGACAAATCGATCAGTAATTGTAAAATTTTTTATATAATGTCGTGCTATACTACTAGTCTTTAATATTATAATTTTTTTATTAAAACTAATTTTAGTTTGCAAAAAATTAGAAATAGCACGTCAATCCTAAGATATATAACACGTATAAAAAATGTCTATTTTAGTTTTAATTACCTCAACTCTGGAATATATATATATATATATATATATATATTAATTCTTTCTCCTGAAGATATTGTTGTTAGAAAATAAATTGATAGAGGTACATATTTTATATTAGTATTACGATTATTATTATACATTTATTTATGATTTCGATTCACTACTCTAGTTAAGTCCAGCGACACGCGTATTGAGAGAAATTATCCGATAAAAAATTAACAAACAAATATTTCCGATCAAAATTATGAACCGATATTTCTCATCGAATGTTTCTTGATCGGATATAAAAATTTATCGGCATTTTGATCGGAAATATTCGTTTGTTAATTTTTTAATGAATAATTTCTCTGAGTAATTTCTCGAATAATTCTTTGAAAAGGAAAAACTTTTTATAAATGTCCGTTATAAATGTTAGTGTTATAAATGTCCGTTGACAAAATACAGCAGATTGACATAGTAATCCCACGTCGTGAAACAAGGAAAATCAATGTCATTCGCTAGCTTGACGGTAAAAGAAAGAAAATGTTACACGTACAGATATAGGACATTCGTCCTTTTACTTTCAAGCGAAGTGGAGTAACACGGTTACCTCTCATGCCAAGGTGTTGAATTACAGGCTGTGTTAAATCGAGGGATGTGAATATCGCGTAATTGTCAGAGGCAAAACATTGAATCAACATCGCGGAAACTTTAATTATCAGTAGCTTTCCACAAAACGAGTTACTTATCCACGAATTGCATGCACGGTTGGATGACCGTTTACAACGTTACGCAACGAGTAAATGGCTAATAACCTCGAATCGAAAGATTTCCTTTCGAACACGGTTTTGTGCCGTGGAAAATGCGAATGGCAAACAACGAGCTTTATTAGGAAAGCGCTCCCTACGACAGTCACATCGTTTGTGAATTTCTGAGATTTGTTTGTTTGCGTTGAAATTTTCGGCGCGCTTTACGTTTAAGATGTTTTTTTTTGCCGTAACGCGCTACGATGGTTAAAAATTTTTCTTTATAGATAATTCCAATCCAGACACTATATTGCGAATGCGATTGCGATAATACACGGCGCGTCTCTGTTCTCCGAGAGGAAGTGATTGCGAGGTCGCCAGAATTGCAAGCTTCTCAGCCGGAAAAGTGTATACACGTCGAGTGATTGACTCCGTCGAGAAGTACAGAGATATCGAGGTAATTTTTAGAGGCATCAATAGGGTAAATTTCGACACGGTAAATTTTGAGAAATGTAAAATTTTTCTTTGGAAATAAACAAAAGAAAACTGAGATATTCATTCCGTTTGATTTATGTCGAAGTTTTGCATTGTTTGAAGAAAATCTTCTCTAAAATTGGAATTTTATTAGGAAGTTTTCTAATTCAACCGATGATACACATATGCGTGCATACGTTTAGTTAAAACTATTTCATCAAAGCATCTGGTAACTATTATAATAATATGCAGGCTTAATGATTATTATCAAATCTTTTCTTTAATGTATAATTGCATTTTAATGCATTGTGGAATTATATATATATATATATGTATATATATATATATATATATATATATATATATATATATATATATATA